AAAAATTACTTTTTGAGATATCCCTGTCCGAAAATTATAAGGGAGTGCTGTAATCACCTTAATGATAAACAATAGATATTTATTATACAAGGGAAAAAATTAAGAGATACCTAAAGAGGAAAAATCTTATTTTATCCTGAGTATAATACATTATTTTTTCTGTGACACAGGTGTAATAAGGGAATGATCCACGGTTCGTAGATAACACGGTGGCCTCATCACGGTTGCTAAGGACGCAGTGACGTCATGGCAAAAAATATTTTATTTGGTGTCGTACATTAGTTTTTTAAAAAAATATTTTTTTGTTATTTAGTGGTGTTTATATTTTTATTTTTGAACTTTGTTCTGGTGTTAGAGTTTTTATAATATCGGTAGTTTGACTTTTTGAAAGACAAGCTACAAATCAGCAAGGAAAAATGATGTAATGATTTCCATCAAATTTCAAATGAATTACTTTTTATTTGAATTATAAAAAGAAATATTATTGTGTAAGTGGTTTATTTTAAACATTTTGGATTAGGGTACGGCCTCCGAGCTGAATTCGGATCACATTTTGTTTTTATCCCGAAATATTTTGAAATTTTGGCAAGCCTGTAGCTAGCCGTAGTGTTGCTGTTGCCTGCCAAAAGTGCCAAACAATTTTTTTATTTTTACAGACAAAAATCGTTAGAAGTAATAAAGGGACCGAGCCTAAACTGAAATTAAAGGCTTATGGTAATATTTTCGAGTATTATTCAAAATATCATTTTACTAAATTAATTGCAACTTTGTCCACCCTACATTTAAAAGTAGACGAGATAGTTTGTAACAAGCATTAAACACAACAAAAAATAAGAAAAGTCAAAGGGCTTTACTAAAAGAACTTACATTATTAAAAAAAAAAGGGTTTTCTACAGGAAGTTTTTAGTAAAGAAGTAGTTACAAATAATTTTATAGAAGAGAACAAGGACCCGTTGGACTTCAAAGAAATATAAAATGTATATTTATATCAGAAATAAAAAATATATTTTGTCAGTTTATACTAGTTTATGGATGTATGAACTGTATAATTTACTTAAAAAAAACAATAAAATAATAAAAACAACAACAACCCAGTTTTATTATAATAATCTATAAATATAGGTACCAAATTAGAGAATAACAGTTTTATCTACAATACACAGAGGAGATATTACATATACCTGGAGTACTTAAATAAATCATCCAAGACCATATCTCAGATTTATTTTAGCAGCGCACTTTTGTAAAGTTGAAATCCCAGCAAGGGATACTTTAAAGTATTTCTGAGGTAAAGAAGCACCCTTTACTCAAATATCTTCTCGTGAATGCTTTACAAACTTCTTCTCTAAAAAGCTCTTGTTTTCATCTTTAAAATAATTTGTACTATGTACTTTTTACTAAAAACTTCCTGTAGCAAACCCTTTTTTTCAAAAATGTATGTTCTTTTAACAAAGCCCTTTGACTTTTTTGCTCTTCGTTGTTTTTACTGTTTGTAAGAAACTATCTCATCTACTTTTAAATGTAGGGTGGACAAAGCTGCAATTAATTTAAAAATAGTGAATTATATTTACAGAATAATTACTATAAAATCTTACCATTAGTCTTTAATTTCAGTTTAGACTCAGTTGCTTTATTTATTATAACGAGTTTTGTGTATAAACAGTAAAAATTGTTTGCCAACATCAAAACTACGGCTCGCTCTGCTTGACAAAATTTCAAAATATTTCGGGATATAAACAAAGTGAGATCCGAATTTAATAAGGAGGCCGTGCCCTAATCCAAAATGTTTAAAATGTACCATACACACAATAATAATTTCTTTTTATAATTCAAATAAAAATTAATTAATTTGAAATTTGATAGAAATCATTATATGATTTTTCCATGCCGTTTTGTAGCTTGTCTTTCAAAAAATCAAATTACCGATTTTATAAAAACTTCAACGCAGGTGTATAGTCCAAAAATTAAAATATAAACACCACCGAATATTAATAAAATATTAGATTTTTGAAAAAACTAATTTACGAACCGCAGCAGAATATTTTCTGTCAACTTGATTTTTTATTCCGTAACGTCACAGCCTTCCTTAGCAAAGGACGAAGAAGCCAGCGTGGTGTCTACAAACCGTGGGAATGATCCACAAAAAGTGTTTCTAAAGTAGGCCTTTGCAAAAATTCACGTCGATTGTACAATTCTTCTTCTTTTTAAGTGTCAGTTTAGATTTAATTCAGAGCCGCACGTAATTATCACAGTCATGACTCTCATCTGTCTTTTTCGAACATGGTCTACTTTAGAAACATTTTTTGTTAATCACTCATACACTGAAATAATGAACAAATAAAAATTGATTAGGAAATCCAGTTCTTTTTCGAAGAGCTGGGAAACCCGAGTATAAGTACTCAAACATTGTACTTAAGTACATTTTGGGTACTCAGTACCCGGCACCCGAATACATTTTCAATAAAGTACACGTTACTCGTACCTGTAACATATTGGGTAAAAGTATCCGGTACCTGCGTTTATTATACGAGTCTATTTTTTCGAGTACTTTTGCAAGTCTGAACTTGACTGTGCTTGCACCAACGTAAAACACTGCTATTATCATCAGTCCAATTAGTACTTGAAAGAGAAGCGAAGCACGCGAACCTTTTGTGTCGTCGCTGTTGTCTGAAAGAACACTAAGGTAAGGGTATATTATTTTACTATATTGGAGTATTGTAGACTGTTTAGCTATATTTTATGTAGTGAATTGGCTCCGGTAAGTTGAGTTAGGTACTAATTAGTAAAAGTTTGGTGTAACGTAGCAAATATGCCCGAAAAAAGTATCGGTGAAAATACTCGCGTATCGGGGACAACACTAATGATTTGTAATTGCTGTGGTGGGAAGTGTTTGTGTGAATGCGTCTCGTTTGTTTTCATTTACGCCGTGACTAGCAGTAGTATTTTATAAACCTTAGAAGAAAATTTCACATACATAAACAAATAATAATAATGCCGTGACAACAAGAAGACGAAGCAAGGACTTCTCGTAGGGTGGCGGCCATACCTGGCTACGCCGACCGGCATAAACACCAACGGCCTGGACACAGCTCACTTACTCTGTCAAAAGGAGACCGATGTTTAAATAAAACGCGTATGACATGCGCACTTCAAATCATTAGTGTTGTTCCCGATACGCGAGTGTAAAAATCAGGTATTTCTACTCGGAGTAATGTACTCATAGGTATGCAGTGAGTAAGGTACTCGTTCTTCAATTATGAAATGTACCCGGTACCCAGTACTCGAGTATGATTTATCAATAATCGGCCAAGCTCTGGTTATTGGCTATTTTTTCTGAAGCTAATAAAAATGTCAAGTTAATAATATTTTTAAAACAAAATGGGGAAGGTTACAGGCCCAAGAAATATAAGATATTTTAGCGGGTACACAAATTAAAGGTTTTTTTAAATAAGGCTCCTGATGACGAATATTTGCTCACAAAAGATGTTGTAGCATTGGGAATTTCGGGAGCTTGTCGAATTTTACCTGGCTCATTTTACCAAAATGTGAACGCTCTGTGTTTATCATAAGATTTTTTACTGAAATTAATTCTTGTAAGTCTCGACTTCGGCCAGTGGTGTTACAAAGAGAGGAGATAATATTGAGAACAAAATTGTATTACTTTTATTAGTGCCGTTTTGTCCAATCGGTCTTATCAACATTAAATGTGCAACAAAAAAATTAAAAGAATATAAAATTACAAAAATAGTTTAGTTATTACAAAAGTAAATTAACATCTATAGGCATATACAACTACAAAAAATATTTACTTATTTATTTATTACAATAGAAAATTAAATTAACATAACGACGGAAAACATTTTTTTTAAACATCGAATTGCTATTATTCACGGTGTCATCCACGGAGTTGTCAAATTATTATGAGAGAGTCTTGTTACAAGGATTGTTTATGGTTATATTTCGATATTGGCTATCTAAAGCAGTAGTTCCCAAACTTTTTTCTATTGTGCCCGCTTTTTAAAATAGAGAAATGGTCATCCCCTCCTTCCTCCTCCTCCTCCCCTTCATCTCCCCTCCTCCCTCTCCAGGGTAGCTATTCTTGAATTCGGGGGAATAGAAAACCGGTGTTGCCTCTTTATCTGCAACGCACAAAATTTGTATTTTTGTCTCATTCTTCCCTCAACAAGACTAGGTCACCAAGACGGTGATAGACTTAATTCTACATTCATTTGAAACAATTACTGCATTTACTTGAATTAAAGAAATATTTATTATGAAGATAATATGTTGCTAAGGGGAACTCCAACCATCTCGTCATAGATTCTCGCTGAATGATTTCATTATCTAGACACCAATTTAATCTCGTTCAAACTAGCTTTGTTTTAGTAGTCAGTTTGACTTGGTGCTTGAGTACATATGAAAACAGGTGTGAAAAGTTACAGTTACTTTTTTCATGAAAAGAAAATTGGAATTGGGTGTATGCTTGTGTGTGAAATTCCATATTGAGTATATTTTTATAACTAAACTGTTTCAAATAAACCATCATTTTAAATAAACGCCTAATTTTGTTAGCTCCATTGAAACATAAGATTTGTTTACAACAAACAAATATTTTTGGATTCGAGAAAATCTTTTTCATTATGTGTAAATTATCAAATATTTTTCATCTAATATATAAAGTTTGCATAAATTCATTTTCGGTGTACCCCAAGGGTCCTTTTCAGTTTTTCTTATTTATTAACGAGTTGTTGCTATCACCAAGTCCACTGAACTTTGGAATATATGTACATATTAATAAGACAGCTATACGTATCTACGTAAAACATATCTGGATATCTGTGTACACAGTAAATAAAGCAGTATTAATATTTATTTTACAACAATGCAAGAACAAATCGCGATATCTATGTCTATGACCATAATATATCTGTTATCACAATTTGATGAGATTATAATTTATCAATACTTATATCTCTGTATCTATATAACGAATTGTATAAGTAATCTTATTACTGTGATTGATGTGTGGTCTGATACGAAGGGAGTTCATTTAAATTCCGTTAAACAAGTAAGAATTTCGTTTCTTTTTTATTAAAAAAAAAGTAAAATATACTTATCAATATATATCAATATCAATATAAAGCGTGAAATAGTATATTACATTACGAGTGTGGAAAGTGACATTTTTCACACGAGTGCGACTATCACACGAGTGTGGAAAATCACTTTTCACACAAGTGATGTACAATATTTTTCCTACGACCACAAAATAATGTCATCAAAAAAATGTAAAACCAAGGTTATTATTACTATAATAATTAAAATGTATTTAAAAAATAATCAACAATAATCGTATTTATTCAATTTTCATATTTTCTAAACAAAAAAAACTAAAAAAAATAAAAAAAAAATAAAAAAAACAAAAAAAAAATTCTGCCCCGACAGGATTTGAACCATAGATTGAACGCGGTCGAAAAATGGCAAAATTGATAAGTTCGACGTCCTAACCAGTTGAGCTAATAGCCCTTGTGACAATTGAATGATCTAATCGGTTATGTATTTAACCAAAATAAAGAGCAAACATTATTTTAAAATTATTTTAATAATAATTGTTAAAGATAAATATCTAGGATCTAATTTACAACAATTTCAATAATTTAACAATCATATCGATTTTAGTATTAATATGGATATTACATAGATCAAAATAGAAATTAGCTTACAAAATAATATCAAAAAAATCTGATGTGTCCAACACATGACTTTCCTATCTAGTTATTTCAGGCTTTTTCCGTTTATTGTGTACAACCTATTGCAGCATCTCTATAAATCTTTAGAGGATAAACTAAATATATACATTGTCCACATACATCTACCGCAAAACATTTTTCTATAGATATTCATTGAAAATGAAAATACTGAAAAATTTAAATTTAGCACTTTTCCTACAATTTTTCCATTACGGTCCATTTAAAAAAAATCATGTATGAACAAATATTATAGAGATCGATATCGCAAACAACTTTTATTTCAACAATTTTCCTAAAAATCAGAATTTTGCACATTTTGTCAAATTTCTCGAATACGGACCATTTCAGGAAATTTTTACATAAAACAAAAATTATAGATAATAATATTAGAAGTAACTTTTATTTGAACAATTTTCTTCTCCAAACATAAATAACATATATTCCATAAAATATAAAAACGGCCTGTCATAAAGTACCCCCCAGATGTTCCGACTTTATCCAAAATCTAATCATTTCACGACAGGCCGAAATAACACTTAAGTTTAAAATTTAATGTTTTTTTCTTTGTCCGTTTTTGAGTTTTCTTTAAATTTCGAAATTTACACATTTTCTCAAATATCTCGAATACGGTCCATTTTAGAGAAATTATTTATGGGACAAAAATTATAGAGAATTATATTACAAACAACTTTTGTTTGAACAATTTTTATAAAAAAAAATATTTTTTTACATTTTGTCAAATTTCTCGAATACGGACCATTTTAGGAAAATTTTGTAAATAACAAAAATTGTAGATAATAAAATAAGAAGTAACTTCTATTTAAAAAATTTTCTTCCCCAAACGTAAATAACAGATATATTCCATAAAATATAAAAATGACCACCCATAAAGTACCCCCCCAGATGTTCCGACTCTGCCCAAAATCTAATCAGCTCATTAGACGTTGGAATAAAGCTTAAGTTTGAAATTTGGTGTTTTTCCGTGTATCGTTTCATGAGTTATGCGTTATACAGACACACACACACACACACAGACACACACACACACACACACACACACACACACACACACACACACACACACACACACACACACACACACACACACACACACACACACACACACACACACACACACACACACACACACACACACACACACACACACACACACACACACACACACACACACACACACACACACACACACACACACACACACACACACACACACACACACACACACACACACACACACACACACACACACACACACACACACACACACACACACACACACACACACACACACACACACACACACACACACACACACACACACACACACACACACACACACACACACACACACACACACACACACACACACACACACACACACACACACACACACACACACACACACACACACACACACACACACACACACACACACACACACACACACACACACACACACACACACACACACACACACACACACACACACACACACACACACACACACACACACACACACACACACACACACACACACACACACACACACACACACACACACACACACACACACACACACACACACACACACACACACACACACACACACACACACACACACACACACACACACACACACACACACACACAGACACACACACGGACATCATCGCGAAAATAGTCAAAACGGATTCAGGGGACCTCAAAACGTAAAAATCCGTCGAAAACTCGAGGTCGAAAAAAATCATGATTCCTATACTTTCCTTATATCTGTATACAGATAGGAAAGTAATAAAAATGTAAAACCAAGGTTATTATTACTATATTAATTAAAATGTATTTAAAAAAATAATCAACAATAATCGTATTTATTCAATTTTCATATTTTCTAAACAAAAAAAACTAATAAAAAATAAAAAAAAAAACAAAAAAAAAATTCGGCTCCGCCAGGATTTGAACCATAGATTGAACGCGGTCAAAAAATGGCAAAGTTGATAAGTTCGACGTCTAAACCAACTGAGCTAATGGGCCTTACGTCAATTGAATGATCTAATCGGTTATATATTTACCCAAATTAAAGAGCAAACATAATCTTAGTTATTTTAAAATTATTTTAATAATAATTGTTAAAGATAAATATCTAGGATCTAATTTAAAACAATTTCAATAATTTAACAATCATATCGATTTTAGTATTAATATGGACATTACATAGATCAAAATAGAAATTAGGCGTTTGACATTTTTTGACAACTACTGCGGAAAGTAACATATTCTCACTTGGGTGGAAAGTAAATTCTTAGTCATACGCGTGTGATATAGGACACTTTCCATAGGACTATATAGTGTGATATGTGTCACTTTCCTAAGTGGTCGTAGGAAAATATGTTTACCATACCTTTAGTGGTAATTCTATAACGAATATGTTAAAATTTAACGGACGTTAAAAATATAACGTATGTTAAATATGAAAAGCAATTCTGTAAATTCATGAAAAATTTTAACTTGTCATAATTAACATTTGTGTCATTTGTGTCGCAAAATCTATTCTATAGGCAGAAATATGTTAAAAATTTAACATAAATGTGTTAATTTTATACGTTAAATCGAGGATATTAACAGGTACTAATTAATAAGTTTTAAAACTTAACATATAAGAAATTGTGACTTTTGAATGTTTAATTCAACTCATAATGTAAGAAAACCATTTTAAAAGTACTCAAGTAATTTTAACACTTGAAATTACACAATTTCTATTCAGAAATTATATTTTTTATAGTGTATATAAACTTTTTGTAGTTAGTAATTGATTTGCCGTAGAAGCGCACTATTATAAGCTTACTGGGGTTAGTTTTGTTTATATTGAAAATGGATGGCCTACCAAATAGTTTATAAAGTAAATTCGGCCGCTACTTTTTTCAATATTCTTGTACAAAAACAGATACAATAGATATGACAAGAGGAATGACATTTAATCGACAGACCTTAAAACTTAACCAAACTTTTATGGCAAATTTAAACTTGATTTGTTTTTTTTTTGAAAATTTATCGTATATGCGTTAATTTTATTTTTACAGAATTACAATTTATGTTAAAATCCTAAAATTTAACACCCGTTAAAAATAAACTTATTGAATTACAGAATTTCCACTAAAAGTGGTAAACAAATTTTTAATAGACAAGTTTTTTATAGTATCACTAAAGTTATTAATAGTTTAATCGAATGCAACGATAGCTCTGTTATAGCCAATACATTTAAAACTAAAACAAATTGTAAAATGTAGGGGAGACTGGGGTATAATGATCCCTAGAGGTCAAATGATCCCCACGAATATAAACATCTAGCAGTGCCATCTATTGAGTAATAGATGAAGTATAATCGAAAGACTAAATGCAGTGACTGACAATAATCTGTGAACAGTTGGCTCATTTTAGCGCCATTTACACGTGCATTATTGTTTTTCTGATTTTCGATGTTATTTCGGGGCTTTCTCGCAGCATTGTTAAAATGGTATTCAATTCGATAATTTAAAAACTAAACAGGGTTCGAAATCAGGTAAGTTTAGACTACTTACCTTTGTACTGCTTTGCGCAGCATTTTATTGTCTTAAATTTGTTTAGGTTAGGTTTTGTAGAATATTTGCTTTTGGGGTAAAACGATTACTTCATGATCCATTCATTTTTAAAAACCTAGCAATACGTTGATATGGATACCAATATTTGTTCTGGTTATTTTCAGGATGCCTCAAAACCCACCGTCAAAACTGGGACCCCGGGAACATGGCAAACGCCATAAACGAGGTTAAAGAGAATGGTATGTCATATAAAACTGCTGCACGAACATTTCAAGTGCTCTTAATGTCCCTTAAGCACAGAGTTAAAAATAAAAACACAACTACCAAAGAAAATATAAAATATTTAGGCAGCAAAACTTCGACATGTACTTCAGATAGGGTTGCCACATTTCCGGAAGTGAAAAGCGTGGCAACCGTGACGATAGAACATTTTTTTATAATCAGGTCCAAATTTTGTGACCATTTCTTAAAAAAGAGGTCCTCAGCTTATTTTTCCTAAAACGGGTCGAACATTTTTATATAATCAGGATTTTTGTACAAATCCGATACCTCTGTGGCTTTTGAAAAGCGTGGAATGTGCATGAAAAGCGTGCAGGCAAGTCAAAAAGCGTGGCTGCCACGCCGAAAGCATGACGTCTGGCAACCCTAACTGCAGATCAGGAAAATGAACTTATACGCCATATTCTAGACTTTGAAACCAGAATGTATGGGCTTATAACAAT